TTCCCACCAGAGGGTCTGCGGCTGGAGCAGGGGTCATCCCACCCCGGGGTCCATTTCACAGGGGACAGGCGGCCACCCAGCCCTGCCTGACTCCAGGACGGTGGTGACATGGGTGACGAGGCTCTGAGGATTGTGTGTCCCAAAGCCACATGCTGTGCTCTGCTGTGGAGTGGCTGGGCTGGACGCTGGGGTCAAGACCTGCCCTCGGTGGACAGGACAGGGGACACACTAGAGACCCCAGGGACAGAGGAATGTCACCAAGAGCCCAGGATGTCACCTTGGCCTTTCAAAGGCTCAGCCCTGCCCCGGGGTCTGCCTGGGTGCACAGTGGCCCTGTGGCCGCAGCTGGCCCTGGCCATCGCCCGTCCTGGGGCCGGGAGTCCTCTGCTGGCGCGGGCACCGCGGTTCCCGGCGACGCACAGCTGCTGGTTGGGCCTGTGCCCCGCGATCCGGGGTGTCCAGGGCTGGGAGCCCCTGCAGTTACGGAGGAGCGGCCAGCGCTGGCCAGCGGCACCTGTGGCCTCCTACCCTGGGCGCTCCCGGCGGCGGGGACGCCCCGGCCCCTCCTGTGCCCAGCTCTCCCCGCGGCTCCGGCCAGGACCCTGTGCTGTGGCCAGGCCCCGTCCCGTTCCCTCGTGCTGTCCACAGGTGGCCGCCCACTGACCTCCCGTGCCCAGTTTCCTCTCCCTGAGGGACACAGCTCAAGCCCAGGCTGGCCCTAGGTTCCCGGCAGGAGCTGGCCCCGCCCACGCACGGCCCCGCCCACGCACGGCCCCGCCCACCTGCCCCAGCGCTGCTCACCCTCCGCCTGCTGCCCGTGTCCCCTGCCCGCGGCCTCCCCTCTCTCACTGCGTCCATCCGGTCCTCTCCTCTCCCCGCTGTGGCCGTCACGTGTCTCCCTATGTTAGGGACCCCTGTCACCTGTTAGGCCCGCGCCTGTCATTCCCGTCCCTGTCCATACCCATCCCTCCCACCGCGTCCCTCTGCCGTCCTCGGGACGCACCGTCCCTCTCTGTCCCTGTCTCCTGTCGCCCCCACCTGTGTACAGCTGTCCCCATCAGGGTCCCTGTCCATCTGTCGCTGTCTGCCTGTCGCTCCGTCCTTGCATGTGTTCTGTACCTTCCGCTGCCCCCGTCTGCCTCCTACCCTCCGCCCCACCTGTCCCCCATCCCGGGCCTGCGCCCTCCGTGTCCCCGCCGGCATCCTGTCCTGCTGACCCCGGGGCCCCGGTGGCGCTGCCCCGAGATCGCAGACCCCCGAGGTGGCCCACGACTCCAGCCCCTGCCTGTCCCCACAGGAGGCGGCCTCTTGCTGGCGGAAGTTGCCCTGGACGAGGACCCGGGGGCCGCCCGGCGTGGCCTGAGGCCGAAGCTGGACCTGCTGGTGCAGACGCCGGGCAGGGACTGGACGCTGGGCGAGGGCCGGCGCCTGCTGGAGCAGCACGGCTTCGGGGACATGCAGGTGGCGCCCGCCGGGGACCTCCCGGGCGCAGTCCTGGGCATCCGCATGCGCCCCTGACGCCCCGCAGGGACCTTTGTGTGGGCGTCGTGGTCCCGAGGCGGAGGGAGCCCGGGGTCCCCACGCCGTCAGCTCAGTGGGCACGTGGGCGGGGCCTTGCGGGACGCAGAGAATAAAGCCACCTTCCTCCCTCCGCGCCCTGCTCGGAGCCCTGACCGGCCGCGCGCCTCCCAGGCCCGCCCTGCCTGAGAGCTTCTGCCCGCAGCGTTGACCGCCGACCTGCCCGCAGGCGGTGGCCGGTCTCCGCCAGGTGCTGACCCCGAGACCTGGCCACGGAGCTCCTGGCACGGGGTAGAGCGCCCACCTGGCCTGGCGCCGGAAAGCCCAACCCACGGCCAGCGGCGGAGCTCATGGCTGGCCCGGGCCGGCCCTGTGTCCTCCGCCCCTTCCTCGGGCTGCCCCGTCTCCACTGCTGGCCGAGTGCAGTCCCCCGGCAGGGTCCCGCTCAGGGGCACCACACCCCGTCCCAACACGGCCGCCTGGGGAACCTGGGGAACCTGCGCTGTGCGCACACCCTCGGGGCTGGGCCGGCTTGGCCCGGGGTGTCCTCAGGATGCAGCCCGGAGACCCTGAGCGTGGCAGGAGGGGACACGAGAGCTCTCTGCCCTCCCAGCTGCGGGTGGGCCCTTTCCCGAGTGCAGAAGGAGCCTCGGGTGGACGATGCGGCTACTTGGAAAGCCAGGCCTGCTGACGCCGCCCACGGGGGGTAGCCCCCAGCCCGGCCAAGAGCCAGCGGCGCTCTCCCTCTGCAGACGGCTGCGGCTCGCAGTGACCTACTGGGCTTGCTGCGGGGATGGAGGAAGGTCCCCCTGCCAGCCGGGCTACCTGCCCGCCCCCACGGTGACCAGGGAGAGCGCACCTGCCCGTTCTGGATCAGAAACACCGCGGGCGTTAGAGGCGCAGGTGACATAGACGCACAAGGGCACAAACACCGTGCCCGTGTTTACAGGAGTGAGTGTGGACTTGTGCAAGACCGTCCTCTGCTGACCATGTCCCTCTTAACACCTTTCAAATGCATGATGGGCGCCTGGCTTCGAAGACTCTGGCCTCTTCTAGCTGCTGGCCCTCAGGCAGGTGGCACTGGGACAGGACGGCCCCACCCTGCAGAAGCTTCCAGGCACCGGGGAGCAGACTGGCCACCTAGGTCCCCTGCAAAGGCCGCTCCAGGCTGTGAGGGACGCAGGTCAGAGAGGAAGGGCCGAGGCCCACGTGGGGCCCTCTGTGGTGACATCTCTGTCACAGAGGCCACCGCTCTGTCCCAGGGGCCACCCATGCCCCACGCCATGCTAGCTGCTGGGAGCCTGCTGCAGGCCCGAGGCCCAGGAGTGACCCCTGGACCCCGCATCCCTCTCCACCGCTGCCCTGCGCGAGGACCCACAGAGGCCAGCTGCACGTGTCCGCCTCCTGCGGCCCTGCAGGAGCACTTCCCACGGTGACCAGAGCCCTCACAGCTGAGGGACACTGTCCTCGATGCGTTCCTCCCACAGACACTGCCCAGCGTCCCCGGGGCACCAGCCGCAGGCAACCCTGGCCTCCAGGCCAGGAAGAGACCCTGGAACCACAGGGAGGGTCCCCCGGGCTCCTGGACCTCCCGTCCCTGTGTGTCCCCTGGAAGGGATTAAAGAGACGTGGAGAAACCTGGCCACAGGCGACTGTCCTCACTCGTGGGAGCACTTTCTAGACCACCTGCTGCGGTGGGCGAGGTCCCTGCACGCGTCCCTGTGCAGTGGCTTCCGGGATCCACACCAGCAGGGTCCACGAGGGCAGGGGTCAGCGCAGGTCCCCACAGGGCAGCACCCTGCCCTTCCCTGGAAGTCACTCACTCCCTCAGGGAGGCACTAGGCGCCTGCTGCATACCAGAGCTGCCTGTGAGATCAGCTCTGGATAAGCACCGTCCACCGGCCTTACCTGGGTGCTGGGAGGACACAGATCAAGGACAACCAACATCTGAGGGGACAGCTGCTCCACCAGCCCCCCACGGCCCTTCTGGGGGACAGTGGCTTTCTAGGGACCCGTTTCTGCAGGTCAAACCAGCCCCCCCCCCCCCAGCAGGACAGGGGGAGCCCCTGGCTGGCTGCAGGGGGGGGCCTCGGGTGGGACACAGGGTGGGGACACCTGTGCACCCCTCCTTTCCCCAGCTGCCCTTGGTGGGGGTCCCAGCCCCGGGGGTAGGTCTGCCTGGCCCCTCCTCCGTGTCCCCACTCCCCCAGGGCACACCCTTGAAGGCACAGGATGCCCTTGTGGACACAGGGGTGGGTGGCTCCCAGAGCGGGACCAGGAAGCACATTCCAGGAGCCAGGCCTGGCCGACACTAACCAGAGGGATCTGGATCTCAGGCGGCAGCTGGCCTGAGGGCTCAGGTCCCTCCCAGCCCCGTCAGGCCCATTCTGTAACCTCGGCCTAAACGTCTGTGAGACCCGGCCTCCCCCCCAGAGGGAGCCTGGCCAACCCAGGGGGACCTTGTCGCCCCTGTCCACCCTGCACCCCAGCCTCAGGGACTGTGCACTGGGACAGGTGGCACTGGGACAGTGCAGACTCCCGAGGCCAGACCCCACGTCCACCCACGGCAGCAGAACAGGCCCAGGGACAGGAGAGAGGGAGCGAGCAAGGGAGCAGGGAGACGAGAGGGGTCCGGCCGGGGTAGGCCTGGCCAGCGCGGGTCCAGCACGCACGAGGCCCTGAGCTCCCGTGAGGGAGGGACGCAGAGGGATGAGGGCAGCAGAGCAGAGGGACGTGGGAGGAAGGGAAGAAGGGCCGGCCTGGGGACCCTCGTGTGAGGCACGGGGGACAGACCGGCTGTCACGGCCACAGCTCCTGCCCCGGGTCAGCAGCTCCCAGGGTGGAAGCGCGAGGTGGGAACACAGGGCACGCGGAGGCCGAGGGCACCACGGCGGAGACACCCCGGGTCCCCCGGGGACAGAGGTCAGGGAGGGGCTCCAGGACCCGCAGGTGGACTCAGGATGGGGCTGAGGTTAGGCACGCACAGGGGCAAGGGGACAGGTGGCGGGTGTGGGGGCGACAGGGGCAAGGTCGGGGCACCACGTGTCGCGAGCACAGACATCGAGAGAAGCGGGGCACACGTCCTGTCGGGGTGGACTGGGCCTCGCGGCGGGACTGCAGGCTGCACGGCCCCCCCCAAGGGAGTGACGCCTCCGGACCACGCCTCGACCTTGTCAAGGTCACGGCCACCGCCGCAGAGCCCCCGGCCCGCCAGGCGCAGAGGCGGGGCCCGGCTCCCGTCAGGCCTCGGGGCGGGGCGGCCTGTGGGCCCACGGCCAGGGGCGCAGGGCGGGGCGGGGCTCCCGGCAGCCCGCGGGGGCGCGGCAGCGTGCGGGGGCGGGACGTGGGCGGGCGGCACGGCCAATGGGTGCAGCGCGCGGGCCGCGGGGCGGGGCGCGGGCCGGCGGCACAGCCAATGGGCGCGGCGCGCGGGCCGCGGGGCGGGGCGTGGGCGGGGCGTGGCGGCCTTAGCGGCTGCGCGCTGGCGGCCCCGTCCTTTCGGTCCCGGTGGCGGCAGCGCTGAGCTAGCGGCGGCCTTCCTCCGGCTCTCGGCGCCCGCGCTCCGGCTCTCCGCCCGCTCCGCTGACCCCGCGCCACCATGACGGAACAGGCCATCTCCTTCGCCAAGGACTTCCTGGCCGGGGGCATCGCCGCCGCCATCTCCAAGACGGCCGTGGCCCCCATCGAGCGGGTCAAGCTGCTGCTGCAGGTGGGCGCGCGGCCGGCTGGGCCGCGGGGGGCCGGGGAGCGCGGCCGGCTGGGCCGCGTGCACCCGGCCGGCGGGCGGGCAGGCAGGCGCCGGAAGTCGGAGGCCGTGGACGCTTTGTCCGCGCTGCGCCGACTTCCGGGGGCTTGGCCACAGGGGCGCTGCCGCATTTCAGGGGCGGGGACTCTGCGCCTGCGCATTGGGCCCAGCGCCCTGGGGGCTGCGGCGCGGCCTGTCAGGCGCATGCGCGCCGGCGTAGCTGCGCGGACCGGCCTAGTGCCTGTGACCTTGAGCGGGTCACGGGGACCCGGTGCGCTTGGACAGTGGCTTTGGGCTGTCTCCAGTCTTGCATCTCGCAGTGCGACCCTTCCCGTTACCAGTGCACAATGGCCAGCGACCCCAGGCTCCAGACACTGGACGTTGGCCCTGGTCTGAGTTTTCACAGTGCACCGTGTAGCTAGCCATAAGCCCCGGTGAGCTGTGCGCCCTTGAGGGTGTCCCACTGAGTAGCCCAGGGGTTGGCAACACTGTCGCTGGGACCGGGTTGCAGTGAAACATTGCGACCGCAGTTGGCCTGATAAGCACTTAGGACCCACAGAGGGGCTGGTCATGGTGGGAGCCGCTCACTGGTCAGCCTGCGCAGGCGCAGTTTTCCCAGGACACCTGCTGTGCGCACAGGTGGGCCAGGTGCGCAGTGCCCTCCTCTGACCTCCGCCGTGGGCCTCCCCGCAGGTGCAACATGCCAGCAAGCAGATCGCGGCCGACAAGCAGTACAAGGGCATCGTGGACTGCATCGTCCGCATCCCCAAGGAGCAGGGCGTGCTGTCCTTCTGGAGGGGCAACCTGGCCAACGTCATCCGCTACTTCCCCACGCAAGCCCTCAACTTCGCCTTCAAGGACAAGTACAAGCAGGTCTTCCTGGGCGGCGTGGACAAGCACACGCAGTTCTGGAGGTACTTCGCCGGCAACCTGGCCTCCGGGGGCGCGGCCGGGGCCACCTCCCTCTGCTTCGTCTACCCGCTGGACTTCGCCAGGACCCGCCTGGCGGCCGACGTGGGCAAGTCGGGCGCGGAGCGCGAGTTCAAGGGCCTAGGCGACTGCCTGGTGAAGATCACCAAGTCGGACGGCCTCCGCGGCCTGTACCAGGGCTTCAACGTGTCGGTGCAGGGCATCATCATCTACCGGGCGGCCTACTTCGGGGTCTACGACACGGCCAAGGGTGAGTGAGGCCGGAGGCCGGCAGCCTCCCCCCCCCCCGGCCTCTGAGCTGGCCTCCAGCCTCTGGGGCTGCGGGGCCATGGGCGAGTCTGTCTGGACCTTGGGCTGAGGGAGGGTCGCCTGTCCCTGGGGTTTCCCTGGAGGGAGCGGGGACAGCGGGGCTGACCCTGGCCTGCGCGTCCACAGGCATGCTGCCCGACCCCAAGAACACGCACATCGTCATCAGCTGGATGATCGCGCAGACCGTCACGGCGGTGGCCGGCGTGGTCTCCTACCCCTTCGACACGGTGCGGCGGCGCATGATGATGCAGTCCGGGCGTAAAACAGGTACTGACCCGGGCCTGGGGGGCGGTGGGGGCTGCCCGGGTCCAGGCCGCCTGCAGGGGGTCGCGAGGGACAGGCTTCTGTCCCCGCGGCAGTCTGCACGTCCAGGGAGCGGTGGTCCTACGGGGGGACTCGGCTGACCCTGCAGGGGAAGCCCGTGGGCACCTGGGAGGCAGCAGGGTCTCTGGTCAGAGCTCCGGCTGCAGTGACCACGTCAGGCTGCCCCTGCTCTGAGGTCCCCGGGGTGGGTGGCGGCCGCCCTGTCCTTCCTGACCGCCCCTGTCCCCGCAGCGGACATCATGTACACGGGGACCGTGGACTGCTGGAGGAAGATCTTCAAGGATGAGGGCGGCAAGGCCTTCTTCAAGGGCGCCTGGTCCAACGTCCTGCGGGGCATGGGCGGCGCCTTCGTGCTGGTGCTGTACGACGAGCTCAAGAAGGTCATCTAGGCCGGAGCGTCGCCGGGGCCGCCCGCCGGGGACCAGAGGGTGCGAGCACCCTCCACTGGGGACCATGGACCTTCCAGAAATTCCCGTCTGTCCTGGCCAGGGTGTCTGTCGGGGCTGGGCGCTGAGGGACTCATGGTGACCTGTGACCACGGACACCCCGCTCCACACGCTGGTGCCGGGCGTCCTGACCATGTCCTGCGGGCCCTGGGCAGGCCCCCAGGCAGACCCAGAGTCCAGAGCTTGTAGGGCCCGCGTGAGTATTTATTTAACAGAATCGTGTCCACTCCCCAAGCACTAGCCGCTGCGCACAGCGAGTCCGCAATCATGTTCCCTGTGGCACCTGCCGAGAAATAAACAGGACACCACGGCCGTGCAGCCTGTCTGGACGGGGGCGGGGGTCCGCGGGTCAGCAGGACGCTGGCCGGGGCAGAGGGTCAGCCCTGGGAAGGACAGGCTTCTGGAGAGTGGCCTCCTGTCGGGGGGAGCAGCTGCGGCTCTGGAAGCCCGAGGTCCAGGGTCAGCTGAGGCTGTTCCTGCCCCCAGAGGAGCCTTCTCCTGGGTCCTCCATGGTGGACGGGCAGGCGGCTCTCGGGTCTCTCTGGTGAGGACCCTCGTCCCCTTCATGGGCTGCTCCTGGGGGTCCTGGTGTCCTTGACCTGTCCTGGGATGAGGGAGTGCTGGGGCCCGGAGGTGACCCATGAGCTTGGCCTTGTCCTGCAGAAGCTGGGGTCCAGCCGCAGGGGGAATCACCTGGAGCCTCAGGGTCCTAGGAGCCGCCCTCAGCGCAGGCCCAGGTGGAGGTGTGCGCCCAGTGTCAGGTGTGGGTCACTTGGCCGGTGTCCCTCCCTCCTGCAGCTCCCGGGGTAACCTGACCCTGAGCCCCAGCTGGCCACCGGGTCCCCGATAGCGCCAGCTTGGGACCTGACATTGCACCCTGCTGACTGGGGCCCAGCTGGATTACTTCCCTGGGCCCCGGGGGCCACTGTCCTAGGAGGACGGTCTGCAGGTCCCTACTTCCTGCCTCTGCAGGGGCTCCTCACAGCCCCAAGCTGAGCTGGAGGACACTGGGTGACCCCAGGGCCATTTCCTGGGAACTCATTCCTTGTGGGGGTCACTGTCCCGTGGGGTCAGTGCTTAGGGGGCACTTGGTGAAGTCGGGGCGGCTGAAGTCACTCCCGGGCTCTGGGGCCGCAGACTGGGAGTCCTGTCCGGCCTCCAGTAGTGACCACCTGCATTGGGGGTGGGGACAGGCAGGCCTTGGGGGAGGGGTACTTAAAACCCAGCTGCAGTGACAGGACACAGGGATCCCTCCGCAGGGGACGGACTCTGCAGCCAGGCGCCGAGCGGCCTGGGTGGCGCAGATCCCCTGAGGGCCAGTGAGCAACCGGGACACCAGGTGGAGGTGGACCCGATGCTCGGGTTTTATTCTCAGGCAGCGTGGGCTCCGCATGTCCATCTCCTGTCCCTCCCTTGGCACTGTCCACTGGTCCTGCGGGCTGGCCTGTGGCCGCCCTGCAATATGGCACCGCCAGGTCCTGCGCTGGGCCGTCAGGGCTCCTCCAGGTCCTGCACCTGGGCCACTGGACAGTCGTCTCCCGCGGTCTCCAGGGCCAGCTGTGGGGATGGGCGGGCTGTTAGCAAACTCACCGGGCTCCCACCCCGCGGCCATGCTGCCCATTGGGCAGGGCAGTGGCCACCCCACGTCCGAGGACATACCATCTCGCCATTGGGCACGTGGTCACAGACGGTCGCTTTCACGCGGGGGACGGGAGGAAACAGCCTCTGCATCAAGGACAGCCTGGGAGGAGAGGGACACCTGGCTCAGAGGCCACCACCCACCGCAGGCGGGGGGCGGGGGGCTCCGCGGAGACGACCCTGAGGTCACTCCCTGGGGTCTCCTCACCGTCACCTCCTGGGACACAGGACTCGCCAGAAGCTGACCACCCAGCAGGGCCTCCCTCGACCCCGGCGAGTCCCCTCCCACCCGGGGACACCCGCGGCAGCTTCTCCCGGGAACCCGCGCCCAACCCTGAGCGCGGGTCTGCAGACGGGGGCCGGGGTGGCCTCGGCTGGTCACTTGGGATTCAAAGTGCAGACTCCTGACCTGATCCTGCAGCCGGACCCCAGCTGTCCCTCCAGGCTAGCGCTCCCTCCCAGGACCCTCCCCTGCCTGCAGCAGGTGGCCACGATTGAAGGGGACCCCGGAACCCAGTCTGTGGTCGGGATGTGGCTCCTCCCCTCGGGAACGTGGCGCTTCCCCGAGGGACCCGATGGCCTTAACCAGGGTCCCCTACTTGGAGCCCACATGGACCCGGCCACACGCGGTGAAGACTGGATGCGCCTGGATCCGGGAGGAGCCAGCAGGGTCCCAGATGGTGGGGTCCCCCCCCCCCCAGCGACGGGCGGGCGGGGCGCCTACCGTTTGCAGAGGAAGAGCCCCAACAGCGCGATGGCCAGCGTCCCCGCCGCGGCCAGCAGAGACGTCTGCAAGATGCGCGAGGGCCGGTCCTCATCAGGGTCGCACTCTGAGCCAAAGGGGACAGCAGGGCTCACGTCCGGGGCTGCCCCATGGCCCAGGATGGCCCCCAAGGGGAGGGGGCGGCAGCCCTCCCGGCCTCCCCGCCACGCCCCGCGGTCACTGGAGGCCAGGCCGGACAGCCCAGGGCTCCCTGGAAAGCGGCCGCCCTCTGGTCAGCGTGGGGGTCACTAGAGGGGACTCCTGCCCCTTGACACTAGTGCTGGTGCGTCCAGCGGGCCGGGCCGGGCCCTCCTGGTGGGCGGAGAC